TTCTTCATCTTCTACCAGTCAGGAACATGCATTTAATTTTCCATGACAGCAGTTTCACTTTAGCGAATGGCCTCTTCTTTTTACCTGTCAGCTTGCGGTTTACGGACACGTCACGTCACCTCTCCCCCTCCCTCTCCCCCTCTCTCCCTCTCCCTCTCCCTTTCCCTCTCTCCTCCACACTGTCCCGTGATGACAACCACACATACGTTTTTGTAGGCATTAAATAAAGGATATTTAATATTTTATGACGGTATAACGGTATTGAAACTGACACCGTTGCTATTTTTAGATCCCGCGGTATACCATAATACCGTAATACCGCCCAAGCCTACTCTGCATTGATGTCTGTCAGGGTTCTGCCACTCTGGTCATGTAAATTCTTGTTTTGGTGGCAGAATCCGGACACTAGTCATGTCTAGTCCTGTTGTGCTCGGCTCGAGTTTTCTTGGGTCAAGCACTTGTTTCTGTCTCCGTGTGTGCGCGTGCCGTTGTGGGTGTACTCTTGTACTCGTGTTTGTGTTTTCGTCTGTCTGCAGCGTGGTGTTTCATTCCCAGCGTCTCAGTCTAGTTGGTTTCGGTTTTGGTTGGCGCTGAGATGAATCATGCACGCTGCGTGTGTGAGCGCACGGTGAGTGTTTTCATTCATCGTGTGCTCGTGTCTTGCGTCTGTTGTCAAAGCACGTGGCTCTGTGTTTACATTGTGGTCACGTGCTTTTGTCGTGTGCTTCAGTGTTGTGCTTGTGTTGTCATGAATATGTGATTAATGAGTTCTCTCATTGGCTGCATGTTCTTGTCCTGTTTTATGTGAGCGCATGGCTTGTCTTGTCTCTGTGTCATGCGCTCTCCCGTCTATTGTCTAATCCCACCCTCTTTGTTAACTCATTATTAGTTTGTCATGTTCACCTGTGTGTCAATTTACTTTTGCTTTATAATCCCCTCATGTTTTCTGTCCTGTGCCAGTTCGTCGTTGTTATTTCCATGTCCTGTGAGATCCAGTCCTGTTTGTCCTGCCAGCCCATCCAAGTTTGTTTGAGTGTTTGTTTTATAGTTATGTTTTTCCCCCTTGGGGTGGTTTTTGTTGTGTTTTTGTTTTATTTTTGTTAATAAATACCATCTTCTGTCGCATTTGAGTCCTCGCTCCCTCATCCTTCCTGAAACCCTGACAGTCCTCTATTCGTCGTATATGTACATTTCAAACAAAATCTGATTAATTTACACTATTTAATTTCAGATAGCTTTTTTGTAGCTTAACAATATAATCGTGCTGTCAAAATTAGTGTGTTAACGCATGCGATTTGATATAAAATATTTAACGCATAAAAAAATTGACGCAGTTACAGGTTTTTTTTTTTACTTTCTGTTGTGGTGGACGTGATCAACATGCAAAAGAAATATGTATAAGACCAAGCAAGCACTTTTAGAAGGCAAGTTTCAGTATAAAACAATTAATGTCGCATCACCAGGCTATCCAGAGCGATCATGCGTCTTGAATCTGAAGGGAGTCACTCTGGCGTGTTATGTCTGTGTGTGTTTGTGTGTGTCAGGGGTTGAGTTGAGTGTATCTGAACAGTGGAATGTGCGCGTGAGACGTACCTGAAGAGCGGTGGGGGTAAGTTGCTTGCGACGTACCTGAAGAGCAGTGGGGGTGAATTGCGCGCGACAAACCTGAAGAGCTAAGAGGGATGCGGTGGAGAGGGCTGTGCAACGTATTTAAGGACCGGACGGGAGACGCCCAATTTCCGGGAGATTATCATTCATTTGCGGGCATCCGGGCGTCTCTGTGCATTTTCGGGATACTCCCGCAACTTCCGGGAGGCTTGGGATGTCTGGACTGGACTGTCTTAAGCCTGGTTTATACTTCTGCGTCAATTGACCGGCGTAACCCACGGCGCATGCAACGCGCGTAGCTGTGCATTTATACTTCTGCGCGCTGTCTCTGTTGATCTGCATTAACACTTCTGAAACACTAGTTGGCAGTGAGGTGTTAATGTGTCTCTGTGTCGAGTTTCTTCGCTGCTGTTTTGCTTTTCCTGAACACTTTCTGAATGTAAAGTGTAGGGCTGCTCGATTATGGGAAAAATCATAATCACGATTATTTTGGTCATAATTGTAATCACGATTATTCAAAACGATTATCAGTTGAAGTCAAAATTATTCGCCCTTCTGTGATTTTATTTTTACATATCAATATTTCTTAAATAATAATAATAATAATAATAATAATTCCTTACATTTATATAGCGCTTTTCTGGGCACTCAAAGCGCTTTACACAGTGGGGGGAATCTCCTCATCCACCACCAGTGTGCAGCATCCACCTGGATGACGCGACGGCAGCCATTTTGCGCCAGACCGCACACAACACACCAGCTGATTGGTGGAGAGGAGACAGTGATGCAGCCAATTGAATATGGGGATGGTTAGGAGGCCATGATGGACAAAGGCCAGTGGGCAGATTTGGCCAGGATGCCGGGGTTAAACCCCTACTCTTTTCGAAGGACATCCTGGGATTTTTAACGACCACAGAGAGTCGGGACCTCCGTTTAACGTCTCATCCGAAAGACGGCGCTCACTGAGCAGTATAGTGTCCCCGACACTATACTGGGGCATTAGGACCCACACAGACCGCAGGTTGGGCGCCCCCTGCTGGCCTCACTAACACCACTTCCGGCAGCAACCTAGCTTTCCCATGTGTACTCCCATCCAGGTACTGACCGGGCGCAGCCCTGCTTAGCTTCAGTGGGCGACCATGTGAGAGTTGCAGAGAGCTGGCTGCCAGCAATATATATTTTTGATTGTCTGCAGAAGAAACTACTGTTACATAATGACTTGCCTATTTACTGTAATTAAGCCTTTAAATGTCACTTATTAAATGTCACACAATACATGTCCGAGGCTAAGCGCAGCGCGCACACACACAACAGTACGGGCTCTTTCGCGCTTTTAAAAATATGTATGATGCGCATCCCATGCTGCAAAAGTTACATTACAGCATATCTTTTAATCACTTTCACGTGGAACTAGAAAGGAGGTGGTATATGATGGAATAATCGTTTATCTCGATTAATGGTTTTTCATAATCGTTATGAGCCGTAATTGAAATCGAAACCGGATTTTCGATTAATTGCACAGCCCTAGTAAAGTGTTTCAAACTCGCTCATTTTGAGGCAGGAACCGGCAGACGTGCAACAACTTTGACGATGAGGTAAACACAAAACTTTCCATCAGGAGCTCCTTCACGGGACTCCACACTTGTAAACAATCCCTCCATCAGGCTCGCACCATTCGCGCGGCTCTCGGCCCCGCCCAGACTCGTCAGCACTACCAAGCCGACCAATCACAGAGCTTGCGCTATGCATCATTGCGACATGTAGTTACATTTTTTTGAGAGGTGCACGTCAGCAACGCCGACGGAAACGGCGTAGGGCTATGCGTCAACGTCGTAGCATACGCGTGTGTTTGACGCAGAAGTATAAATTAGCCTTTAGCAACTGGATGAATGTAAAGAGGATGAGTGCAATTGTTTGTATTCAATACTTTATTATTATTATTATAATTTTCCATATCTGCAATGCCTGTATTTTGGGATTTTCTTGCAGTCCACTTAGAATCCAATTTGAAAATAATTTTTTTTCTTTGTTGGCATTGATTGTTTTGTAATTCAAATGGCGTTATCATGCCTGTGTTTTAATTTCTGTAACAAATATGTCTGTCAAGCCAGGATCTAGAGGGTTTATTGTGGATATGTTGCTTACATGAAGAAATCTGTGTTACAAGTTAAACAAAAATTCTAATAAACAATTATATTTTGAATTTAAACAGTTTTTGTCCTGCGTTACATTTGAATAGCCAAAATTACAAGTTTCAGTCTTTTAAATGCGATAAATCGCGATTAATTTTCCCAAAATAAGTGTGATTAATTAGTTAATTATTTTTATCGATTGACAGCACTACAATAAAATAAACAAATAAAAGGTTACAATAAATTAAAAATTACAACCTCTAAACCATAATCAGATGGGATGGCGGGCCAAATCAAAGGTTACCATGGGCCAACTTTAGCCTGAAGGGCTTATTTTGGGCATCTCTGCTACATTAAATTAAGAAAGTAAGGGATTGGAACCACTTGAAGGAGAGTAAACAGTGAGTAAATGTACATTTTTTGCTAAACTGTCCCTTTAAGACCTGTTTAGCTCTGTCAAATGTTTGTTTGTGCATCTGGGTGTGTTTTGTGCTAGTTAAAACCCTTCATTTGTGTGTGTGTGTGTGTGTGTGTGTGTCGCATTGACTTCCATTGTGCGCGTGGTTCCTGTAAGCTTCTGTGTACTGAGATAAGAGGAGAGGATATCCTGTCAATTCCCGCTCAGCCTCAGATTTTTGTTTCCCCTTGACCTTTTTTCTGACCTGTGATCCAGCTCATTGCCTGTCGATGCTGTTTGGAACGTAATCATGCACACACACACATACAGATCTGCAGACAGGAATATCTGTATCAGTGTGTTTCACTTGCAAACAAGCATGACAGACAGAATATATATATAATACACACATGTATATTAAGTCAGGCGACGCTGTGGTGCAGTAGGTAGTGCTGAGGTTCGAGCCTCGGGTGGGTCAGTTGGCGTTTCTGTGTGGAGTTTGCATGTTCTCTCTGCATTCGCGTGGGTTTCCTCCAGGTGCTCCGGTTTCCCCCACAGTCCTAAGACATGCGGTACAGGTGAATTGGGTAGGCTAAATTGTCCGTAGTGAATGTGTGTGAATGAGTGTGTGTGGTTGTTTCCCAGAGATGGGTTGCGGCTGGAAGGGCATCCGCTGTGTTAAAACGTGCTGGATAAGTTCATTCCACTGTGGCGACCCCAGATTAATAAAGGGACTAAGCCGACAAGAAAATGAATGAATGAATATATTAACTAGTCAAAACTAATATTTATTTTGGATGCGATTAATCATGATGCATTTTTGCACTAATAATAATAATCAATGCTGTGGTTGTGATCCTCAGGTGAAATGGACCATGGAGGTGCTGTGTTACGGCCTGACGCTCCCTCTGGACGGAGACACAGTTAAGTTGTGTGTGGACGTTTACACTGACTGGATCATGGCACTAGTGTCTCCAAGAGACTCCATACCACAGCCTATAATCAAAGAGCCCGACCTCTACGTCCAAACCATCCTCAAACACTTGCACAACCTATTCCTTCCCAGGTGGGTTCAACAGAGTGGGTTTGATTACCCATGATGCACTCAGTATTCAGTAAAATGCATGCATTCAATCGCGTATTTACGAAATGAAGATATTTTAAACATTAGTATGCTACATTTGGCTTTAATATTAAAAAGTAATGACATTTTTTTTACATCACTCTTGATCTTTAGTGCAGATGCCTATACACACATAAAGGCACACAGAATGTAATTATTAAAGTGATGACGATTTTTATTCATGGGATTTAAAAGGGTAAATACATATTTTTCACCTTGTACTGCTATATAATAGGCAAGGCAAGGCAAATAAAAGGCTTATAGAGCACAATTTTACACAACCGTAGTTGATACAAAATGCTTTACAATAAAATAAACTAGACAATAAAACTAAAAAACTGGTATTAAAAATACAAGGAAATGTTTATGTATAAAAGTAATACTAAAGTACAAATAAAAAATATATACATAATAAATAAATATCTTTGTTTATTTTTAAATGTGCATTTTAAAACTTTTTTTAGACTAAAAGTGTCTTAACTCTTGCAGACCAACTAATTATATATAGCCTTACCACATTATAAAAATTGGTAGCACTTTACAATAAGGTTGTATTAGTTAATGCTAGTAAATGTATTATTAACACAAACAAACTAATTTAATACAGTATGTATTAATCTTTGAAATAGAGTCTTTCATTGTTAGTTCTTGTTAACTCGCAGTGCATTAGCTAATGTTAACAAGTAACTTTGGATTTTATTAATGCATTAGTAAATAGTAGTAGCAATAGTGAAACTTTATTGTCCTTGACAGGAAATGTGTTATGGGTAGGCCCACACGGAATCTGCACGCGCAGAATTCCGTAGATTTCTGCAGATTATTAGCACATTATTAATTCTGTTTTTTAACTTGAGTAAACGTGTAAATCTGAATTTATTTAGTTTTTATTCAGTAATTTATTACTTTTTATTTAATATATTAAGGGTTCAGTTATGATACTCTGCTGGATACTCCCAAAATAATTACGCAGAAATCCGCAGATTTTTACCAAAATTCTCAGCAGAAATAGCAAAAAACGTCCGCAGATTCCATCTGGCCCTGGTTATGGGCATCACCCTATTGCTGCAGGCATTGCATAAAAACAATACAAAATACAGTAGTTACCAATATTATAATGCTAATTAAGATAAACTCTTTATAAGTAAACCCACTGAAACTGGTACAAAGGATCTCTACACCTACACTTTGGGACTCTATATCTCCTACCAGAGGGAAGCAGTTCATAATGTGGAAACAAAAAATGACTTGGACCATTCAACAATTTTCCATCCGGTCTTTAAGAGATGCATCAACTTAGATTTACACTGTACAGATAGTTGCCAAACCACACTGTGATAACATATCTAACAATGCTTTCGAGAACAGCCTTATAAAACAACATCATAACCTTTTTGTTAACTCCAAAAAGACTAAATCTCAGGGAAAAATACCATCTCTGGTGTAAACGGGAGCAAACCCACTCTATGTGTGTTTTCCATGTAAAAACTGTCAATGTAAATGGCCACTGTGTTAAACTATGTATTAATAAATACTTGCATTATTGTTCATTATTAGTTCATGTTGATGTTATCTAACTTTAACTAATGAAACCTTAATGTAAAGTGTGACCAAAAAAATGTTATATCAAATATAAAAATCTTACATTTATATGTATTAAATATTATTTAAGAAAATTAACAGATTTCTGACAGAGAAACAACTATTTTCCCCTCACACTGCTTATTCGTTCTGAAGTAAATTGCTTTTACAGTACAATAACAATATTGTTTTGTATTTGTGCTTGTGACAAAATCCACACTGTCTTTAATTTATTAAAATGTTTATTCATCTTTAAAAATAGTCATTTATTTTTAGTTCTTGTTAACTCGCAGTGCATTAATGTTAACAAGCATGCATTTGGATTTTAATTATGCATTAGTGAATGGTGAACTATGATTAATAAATGCTTTATTGCATTATTGTTTATTATTAGTTCATGTAACTTTAACTACTGAAACCTTATTGTAAAGTGTGACCAGTCTTATATCAAATATAAAAGTCTTATATTCATATGTATCAAATATATATTTTAAAATGACAGATTTCTGACAGAGAAAATAACCATTTTTGATACCAATATCAAATATAAAACATATATTACATTTATTTGTATATATACACATTTGGGATGTAACAATATTGTAAATACCGTCATAACGCAATAGTAATTTTTTTCAATATTACCGTAGGCGGATGACTCAATAAAACTATATTTCTGAGAAAAGTTTGCTTGGGCAAATGAAGCGAACGGGAGGTAGTGGGAACTACAATTCCCATCAGCCCAGGCGTGGTCATCATCCTTTGCGGTCTGTTGTCACTACACATCAAGTAATGCGGAAATGGAGTGTGCTGCTAGTAGCGGGGAAGGAAAAGAGCTGGAAATGATTGAACCTAAAGCGGGTTTTAAATCGGATGTGTGGAAGCATTTCGGTTTCTTTCTAAAAAGATACGAAAAAGGAGAAAAGGTGACAGACAAACACAAAAACAGTATGGAGGCACTGCCAGACTGTGGTGAAATATAAGTCGGGGAATACAACTAAAAACAGTCATGGAGACTGCAGAACACAGCACACTTGTTAGATTGATGCAGACATTGACTTGTACCGCAAAGAGACCTCTATCTCACTCATGGCTTGTCCTCTCAAGTGGGGGAAATACAATGCACAGCGTTACCCACTGCTGTCAACCTTGGCTAAATCATATCTCTCTGTCCCAGAAACCTCAGTCCCAAATGAGAGGGTTTTTTTTTTTCTGTTGCAGGGGACATGCCCAGAGATCCCAGCTTTTACCAGATTATAGTTATATGATAATATTCCTTATAAACTCTATCTATCTTAGTGAGTGAGTGATTAAATGTTGAATGTGATGAGTTTTCAACAATACTAGATTGAAACTTTATTTTTTTATATGGTTTATTAGTTTTTTGTTATTAAAATTGAAAAATTTAATTTCCTGTTTCAAAACGTACAGATAGATGGCTGATTTGTATGTCATTGATATGTTCAGTGCTGAGGTAAATAAACACTTTTGGCACTTTTTTCGAGTCTCTTCATTAGTTTTGTTTTTCCTGTAAATTATTCAATAAATACCGTACCGTACCATTCATACCGAGGTATTATCGTACCGTAAAATTCTGAAACCATTACATCCCTAATACACACACATACATTTTTATGAACAGATGTCTGACAGAGAAAATGATTATTTCCCCCTCACACTGCTTGTTCATTCGAAAATAAATGATTATTGATTACTTTTGGATTTGTGCTTGTGACGATAGCCATCCACTCTTTCTAATATGTCTAGTATTTCCTCTTTGGGCTTTATGATTTTAAATATGAATGTGTGTTTCTTCCAGACCAGAGAACTTCAGCCTGGTGCACTTTAAACTGTGTCAGCAAGTGTTGTCGGCGGTGCAGAAACTAGCGCGAGACTCATCCAGCATGGCCAGAGAGACCTGGGAGGTGCTGCTGCTCTTCCTGCTGCGCATCAATGACACGCTTCTGGCCCCGCCCACTGTGGGAGGTCCGTATGATTGTCACCACCAATCACAACAAAGCTTCCCTCTTAAACAAATGACTGTAGTTCTTCATTTTCTGACAACCAAATGAGAGAATCTTTGCATCTACGCAGACTGTGTTTTGTGTGCAGGATGCAAATTATGGTTTCTGTTTAACCCTCGTGTGCTGTCAGGGATTTTTGTATTCACTCTGGGGTGATTTTTGGGTCAAATAGAATGATTTTTGGTGACAAATTTTATTTCAACATCTATTTTGGAAAAATGGTTCGAAATTGTTCAAAAACTCAGCAGTACACTCTGGGCAAATTGACTACCCTTTGGTTAAAGGTGCAGTAGGGGATCTGCAAAAATGCTAACCGCTTAGCATATTATCTTTGGACGGCGGGGAGGGACTGTGATTCAAATCCACACCCCCTGATATCGCGAGCGCGCGGACCGCGTCACAACAGCCGACAGACAACCTTCTAGTTCATGTCATTCGCCAGTTAGTTAGTGCCAGCGCCATGCAGGAATTACATGTATTACTTTGCCACACTTGCATGCTATTTCAGAGCGAATATTCAGAGTAACGTTAGCGGTAAACAGTAGAGGAAGGCTGTCATTGTTCAGAAATGACCCAATGTGAATATAAAAGCAACTTCAGCTCAATAAAGCAGGTTAGGCGGAATAGCGCTATTTACTGGTGTTTTGTTGTTAAACTAAATATAAATCTACATTATAGATGCTGTCAAAGAACCTTATGAAACTGAAAATAATCACATCAATCTTTCACCGGGAGATTTCAGTGGCTGAACAACACGTCTGTGCATAGAAGTCATTCATAACACAACACAATCTAACATAAAAGTTTCTAAACAGAACATTACCTGTCTAACAGTGATACTTCAGCCATGGTGTCGTCCTTCCTCCAGCGTGCTAAAGTAACTCCAATACTGATTCAGGACTTTCAAAAGTTTCAATGCAGCATTTGATTTCTCCCGGTCCGTCTCGTGACCGCGCGGCCGCTCTAAGGGCGATTTATACCCGCGCCTGGCTTTACAGTAATCGGCCCGAGCTCGGCTGTCCTTCGGCGCCTCCGGCTCCGGCTCTGCCTCTGCGAGCGCCCCGCAGCTCGCTCGCGCGCGTGCGTTTGTGATGCAGACGGCCACGCGCTAATGGCGGATCTGCGTGAACACATGCACAGAAGTCTGAATCTACATTTGTTGACTGACAGTCTGACCTGCCTATCGGAATTATGGGAGATGTTCGGTCCGACTCTATTTAATTGGATGAACATTTTTTAGTTTTATGCTTTACCCAGAATATAAAAATACATATAAACACATTTAGATCATTTACTGTAATCATTACTATTAGACTGTGAAGAGACTTTTAACCAGCACAACAAAAAATGTTTCTGAAGACAATCACCTACTGCACCTTTAAGTTGTTGGCTGTTTTCCCCCATTGACTTCCATTATAATCACATTTTTGATTGCAAAGCCATGACAGCAGATAATCATGCATTCTTGATTGTTAGTGATTTTCCTTGTTGGGAAGAGGTAAAATTTTCACTGTTGATAATGTTTAAGTGTAAGGACCTTGTATATTAGTAAAATTTTGACCAAGTAATTGTTTTTAGACCAAGTAGTTTGACCGTTTTATGTTTTTAGTTTCTTCTTCCAGACAAATTTTGGCATCTAACTCGTCCATCATCATTTGCCCTAAACCAGAGATGCCCAAAGTAGGGCCTGCTGGCCAATGTTGGCCCATTGTATCTTTTGATTTGTCCCACCATCCCATCTGGGAAGACAGTGAGAAGGATGGAGAGGGTTGGGGCAAATGGGGGTTGCTGGTCATTTCTAATTTGACGTAACCTTTTTTTAATTTGTTTATTTCTGAGCTACAAAAAAAAACAACTAAAATTAATGTTTCAATTAAATGTTCTTAATGAATCAGATTTTTTTTTAAATGTAAACAATGTCACTCGACAGATAGAGGACTATGCAGAAGACATCGGTGAGCAAATCAAAGCAAAAACTAGTGTAACTATTCTGTTATAAACTAGATTGTTTTTGCATTTACTGTAATAAGTTCATTATTAAATGTTAAGGAATTATGCTGTATTAGTTCTCGGGCTGGGCAAATATGGCAAAAATGCAGTCTTGGTAATTATTTTTTATATTGAGCGACAACGGTATGTGTTTCCATATATATTGGTAATGCTTCCAGATTTAAAAGTCTTATCATTGTTATTGACATAAATTTTATCATGTTTTGATATAAAATCGTTTATCGGCCCAGCCCTAATTAGATCATATAAAGCAATGTCTTATAGTTATTTTTAAGTAATATCAAATAATTTAGGAAATTATCCATGTCAGCTTTATTTACATTTGGCCCACTAGCCTCAATCAAGGTTGGTTTTTGGCCCTTCATAAAAAAAAAGTTTGGGCACGCCTGCCCTAGACCAAATTGTCAAATTGTGCAGGGTTATTGTATATGGTGTGCTGCCTATGACTTTTTCTAAGCGGTCCAAGGTTTAGCAATGCCCAGCCACTTCACTCAGAACACCCTAGCAACCCCTCAGAACACTTTAGCAACATCTAAGCAACTGCCTATCAAATACTCAACACCCTTGCAACCTACTGTTTAGCATGGCAAACCTCACTCATATTTTTTTCAGGTAAACTGTACATGTAGTGGACAAAAAGTTATTCGCCCTCCTGTGAATTTCCTCTTTTAAATATTTGCTAAATGATGTTAAACAGAGTTTTTCACAGTATTTCTTATAGAATTTTTTATTTTTGGAGAAAGTCTTATTTGTTTTATTTCAGCTAGAATAAAAAGCAGTTTTTAATTGTTTTAAACCAATTCTAAGGTCAATATTATTATTATCCCTCTTCAGCAATATTAGTTTTGGATTGTCTCCAGAACAAACCACTGTTATACAATGACTTGCCTAATTACCCTAACTTTACCCTAATTAAGCCTTTAAATGTCACTTTAAGCTGTATAGAAGTGTCTTGAAGAATATCTAGTCTAATATTATTTACTGTCATCATGACAAAGATAAAATAAATCAGTTATTAGAGATGAGTTATTAAAACTATTATGTGCAGAAATGTGTTAAAAAAATCTTTCCATTCAACAGAAATTGGAGGAAAAAATAAACAGGAGGGCTCATAATTCAGACTTCAGCTGTATATAGTTATTATTCTTGTCTTGCAATCAGCAGGCATTCTGACATGTCTGTTTGTCTGTGTTTCCTGTAGGAGGTCTAGCTGAGAAGCTGGCAGAGAAGTTGATCAGTGTGCTGTTTGAGGTTTGGTTTCTGGCCTGCACACGCTGTTTCCCCACGCCGCCCTACTGGAAAACCGCCCGAGAGATGCTGGCCAACTGGAGGCATCATCCTCCGGTGGTGGAGCAGTGGAGTAAAGTCATCGCCGCGCTCACGTCCAGGTACAGCACTCTGGAGCTCAGCGGGAGTCAAAGCACAAGCTTCTTACAGAAGCAAAGTGTACTCTTTTGATTTTTAATGTGATGCTGGTATAGGGCTAGTAAATTTAGGCCATGTCCTCATGTGCATGGGTATTTTTATAAACTGAGTTTCCCCTCCTTTGTTTAACCAGTTAAACTCCAAAGACATCATCAATTTTTGCTTTCAGATTTAAAGGGCTAGCATTGCACCAGACCCTCTTAAGTGGTTTCGTTTGAAAGTGTAGAATCTATATTTTATGCACATATGCATCACTTTGGTTTTTATTCAACTGTACAAAAGTTATTTACACTTAAATACACAGTATTTTGGATATCCGAGCTGGGTATTGAACATTGGTTCATTTTCATATGGTTCATATATGACACATGTACAAGTTATAGCTCAAATGAAAGCTCTTGCCGGTGCTCATACGGTTCTAGCATTCTTTTTACTGAATTATATTCACATATCAAACAGTTGCCGAATGAATCGCGGTGTTTCCATGGCGCAGAAGTGTAAACAATACATTTATGATCAATAAGCAGCCCCAGATAGCACAGACAGCTGTCATCTCTTACCTTATGCTGTGCGCTTCACGGCCATTTCTCCTCTGTTTTTGAGGTCATGTGCATAAGTAATCCTTTTATATGTCTGATGTGGTCCAAACACAGTGAATTATGTTTGATCAGACAAAAGAATAGTGAAATATGAAAACAATGATCAGTCTCTGTGGCTTGTACAGCACCTCTCATCAGTTGGAATACAATAACTTCTGCATAGATTATGGTGGAGACCTTTTTATTTTATTTTTTTTCCTATGATTACAGACATGTGCAGGAACCACCAACATTAATTACAGCACGCTAGACCACACACAACCTAAAAGGTGCACTTTCAAACTTGAGTTTATAAAAAAAGTGCCTCTTTTTTAGGTGTTTATTAGAACACAGACGACATATACAGATATTTTAAACACTTTCAATAGTGTTTTATGAAAATTCAAAGGGTTTTCTTTAAAATTATACCAAATTTTTGCATTTACACCTCTGCATGTGGTTTTGGGAAGCTTTTAAATTTGGGTAGGCAAAATCCAGGCGGAAATCCCAAAATAACAGCAGAGTTTAACTGGTTAAAAAAAAAATAATAATAATTGTCCACATGAAAACGCATAAATGCACTATTATGCATGTTAAGAGCACGTCAAACCAACAGGTGGCGATAAAAGCCATTTTTAAGAGTTTACACTTGGCTGATGATTGACTATAAGCAAGTTTGGCATGCTGTCCCGGGAGAGAGCCCTGAGCTCAAAAGGTCCTTGAGCCTTGGGCTCCCTCCCGTTTGCAGGGCGAGAGGGTAGTTTGAGCTCAGCTAGGTAGGCTTGAGATCTCCCCCTTTTTTGAGAGCTGATGAAAATGATTGCTATGAAGAGATATGATGCTGGATGAGAGTTTGACTGTAGTGCTAAATTTAGATTGATCAATTAACTTGTAGTTGCATGTTCTTGGAATGTGGGAGAAAACCGGGGAACCCGGGGGTAACCCACGCGAGCATGGGAAGAACATGCTAACGTTCTTGCTGTGAGGCAACAGTGTTAATCACTGGGCCACTGTGCCACCAAATGAAGGGAAAGGTGGAGGAGTAGGGGTGGAAGGGTATGGAATAAAATCATTGTCATTAATATTTTGTGCATAAATAAAATTCACGCATCTGTAATTGTAAATTCGGAAAGGAAAACGGAACCTACTCGTAATTTTACGAGGGTACAATTGCAAAATCTGCGATTAGAACAGACACGGATACAACATTTTCTTTGTCTGTATATGACTGATAAATTTGCGGTGGGTGTACTTTACAAACACAAAATACAGTTTCACTATGGACACGATGTTTTACGAGTACGAATCAAAAAGCGTCATTCCACTGTCAAAAATACGTCACCGCTGTCACAGGCATTAATAAACAAGCGAGAGTCATCGATCACAATGGTGCGCTAACTGGGCACTCGAGCTCCCACACACCGTCTCAGGTAAGATTTCCTCACTATTGCTCACTATCCCCGGCCCGTTCTTAACTTTGATTCTGTAAAATGTCCAAGAAACACAGCGAAAATGGACCTCGTTAAATTTCAACCTTTATTACAGCTCCAGACGGACATTTCTCAAAGAGGGAATAACAAAAATCTTACCTGAGACGGTGTGTGGGAGCTCGAGTGAAACACACCTATAGGCTTACTGTATATGACTTATGGCACAATCTAAACATGATGCTTGCTATAAACTATAGGCTACATTATTTGAGCATTCATCATGACATTGTTATGATCTGTTGTGCTCCAGCTTATTATTATTTTATTTTATTAGCTTATTAAGATTTTTTTTTAAAATCTGTAATAGGCTATCCTAATCTTTGGTAAAATAACCAGCATTTTAGCAAAGCCTGATATTTTCCTGCAGGCTTGAAGCAGACTAAACTAAACCATCTGAGGCCAGTTTTACTTGATGAAAATTCCCTCACCTAAACTCGCCATGAGTGAGATGAAGAAACTGAAAGCATGTCTGAACAATTATTTTTTGTTTGAAAAATTATCTTTTTAAAACACATTTTATTTGGTATATTTTGTTGGTTGTTTTAATGTACTTTTTTTGGTCAGTTATCCACAAAATAAACAAGGTTATTTGAGGTGAAGTTTAAAACAAGGTCCGCTTATAGGTCTATGCTTCAAGTGGTGCTCACTGCAGAGCCATTTGGGCGAGCTGAGCTCCAGCGAGGGGGAGCTTGAGCTTGAACTCCACCTTTCTTGCACTTCTTCTACGAGTGATGTCACTGGGGGTAGGGTTAGGGGTGGGGTTGGTGTGCGCATTAAAACAGCTTACAGGAGGCAGAGCGAGAGCTCATGCTCCCCCTCGCTGGAGCTCAGCTCTGCTCAAATGGCTCTGCAGCGAGCACCCTCTCCTTTGCTTCAGTGCACAAGCTGAAAAAGTCAGGTCTGATAAATAAAATATTAATATATAAAATAACAGTGAAATATTCACAGTTTCAGAGTAGCCTATATGAGTAGGCTAATGAATTGTCATTAGCAGTAAATTAGTGTGTGCCGGGCCGTCAGTTTCACTTTTAGCCTATTAATTTAATCAACTACTTTGACCACAATGAGTCAGGCTTTACAAACTATTCGCACCACTTAAAGTATTCCCCTCTGAAGAATAAACTCTATTGTATTGAATAGCCTGATCATTTCTAGCAGTATAATCTACTGTTTACTCTAATGCTGTGTTCACACCAAACACGGAAGGAGCGTCAAGCGCGAGTGATTTACATGTTAAGTCAATGCAACCGTGCGAATAGACATCCTGAGTCGCGATACGCGCAAATGGCGTGGCGTGAATGGCGCGGTGCGAATAGCTTAATACGCGCAAGTTGAGCGTTTTGCGTGTTTGACACACTTAACGTGTGTTTCGCGCGAATCGCTCGAGTTCAAAAATCTGAACTTAAGCGCACATTCACACCTCGTTAACCAATCAGGAGCTTGCTCTTGTGGGATGTGATTGTGATGTAGAACCTGTTGATGGTGTCCCGGGTTAAATCCTCCAGCCAACACCGACAACAAGTCATCAAACTGGGCTGGGCTCAGTCAGAAGCACAGCTGAAAGCCTCCATCATCCAGGTTCAGTTTCTGGAGGAGTTTATGAACTCACAGAGCTGGATGCACCTCTGAAAGGATCTAGTGGACTCAGACAAGGCCCTAAACGTATCGACGCTGTTTTTAAGTCTTTATAAAGCACATAAACACTGTCATTTTTTTCATAAAATCCATGTTAGCCATTTAGCAATTAAGCTAGAGTCACCGGGCACACAGAAGCCCTGCCCATCATGCGAATCCGCGTCTGTTCTGAAGTGAATTTGATGCGCGAATGAAGCGAGAAAACTCAAATGTTCACGCAGCTATTTACTAACGCATGGCACGATTTATCCGCGTGTTTCGCGTCTGGTGTGAACACAGCATAAGGGTTTTTGGTCGTTTTACTGACGTTACTGCTTTTGTTTGTTTGACCTTCTTGTTTGTTTTGTTGTCCACACAGGCTGCTGCGGTTCATGTACGGTCCGTCGTTTCCTCCGTTTAAAGTGCCAGAAGAGGACGCCAGTCTCATCCCAGCAGAGATGGACAATGACTGCGTGGCTCAGACGTGGTATCGCTTTCTACACATGCTCAGGTCTGCAGTTAAGCTGATTCAGTGCTTTGTTTTCCAAGTATGATTATTTGATTCCACTTTAACACATACAGGTGATTACAAAATTATCATCCCTCTTGTGAAATTTGTCATTCTTTTTCAAAAACGAACATTTCTCACGCTATTTCCTACTGTATTTTTATTCTAGAGAAAACCTTTTTTTGTTTTTAGTTTGGCAGGAATATCTGTTCTAATTATTAAATACTAATATATATATATTATGTAAACTATATTAATATATGCATTATATATTATAGTAAAAACATTATGCTGTGATCAATATTATTAGCCCCCTTAAATAAAGTTATTTTGGTTGTCTACTGAACAAACCACAGTTGTACATCAAAAAAACAATCATTAAAACAATCAAAAGTAGATGTGGATGGCTGTGTCTATGTATGATCTATAATATAATGTCTTTTAATGTTCAAATAGATTTTTGTAAATTTTTTGGTATTTTAATACTTAATATTGTTCAATATTAATTATTAAAATTATAATTGTATCATGATAACCGTATATGCAACATACTGTACTGTAAAAAGTGGTTTTACTGTAGAAAAGTGAGCAAACTCATTGCTTTTAAAGTGATTAGTCGACTTTACTTAAGAAAAGTGAGTACTTAAGATTAAGTAAATGTCTGGAAAATTTCCGGAACGACTTTACCGGTATATTCAAAAAAACGCTGTTCACACAGGTGAGGACGTTACAGAATTTTTCCGGTAAAAATGCATTCACACATCCATTCTAAAATACCGGTAAATTCTGACATCATTAACCAGAAATGAGCTCTAAACGGCTGCGCTTGTGTTTGTAAACATTTGACTACATTACAAACTCTGTGGATGGATCAGAATTTGTGAACAACTCCGATGAAAACATATAGAGAAACACTTTTGCATGTCGAGATGTACATGATATGTGTGTGTGCTGGCGCTCACCCGCTGTTTCATGGGCACACGCAAAGCTTGAAGGCAAACAAACAACGGCTTATCATAAGCATCTTATCGATAATTATTTAATTATTTACACAGTTAATTAAGATGAACATATAAACGTTATTTGACTAATTTCTAGCAGCTAAATGTGTCTAGGGAAAATATACTAAGGCTTTTATTCTCCAGGGGTCTGTTCTTCGTACGTGGATTACTCAGTTAGCTGGATTTGGTTATTGACGATTTGACACAATCCAGGATCGCTTCGTTCTACAAAGCTGATCCGAGAGTTGTTGTCATGGCAACAGTTCTGCTAGCTCAAACCTGATCGGGAGCAGGTTCAATTCATATAAACAGGATTAGATCGGCTCAGTTCATGCAAAGATAATACAGAAAGTATGTTCTGAATTCTGATATTTTCTTACAGTAGTAGTTATATATACTTGGGAAAATGGTACATATTTTTTAACTATATATATATATATATATATATATATATATATATATATATATATATATATATATATATAAAATTATAGTCATTAATAAAATAAATAAAGTTATACATATTAATAAAACTTATGCAATCTGCACCCTCGAAATGAAAGTACAAAGACTGCCACCTGGTGGTGCACGGAGAAAACTTATTGATATGAACTTTTTAGATCGCTTTAGTACAAATTGTGTATAATAGAAATGCAGAATATGTGACTTTTTAAAAAAAAACAATAACACATTTATGCAGTCATAAACATCTTTTGGCAGTTAATATGCCGGTGATTTGATGCTTCACAAAAGTTGCAGACGCCTTTACCAATATGAAAATGCTTTTGTAAACAACCAGTTATTATTTACACCGATTAAAAAACGGCTACTATAATAAAGAAAATCTTTTCTAAATGTAGAACTAAATCTATTGATTTGCATTGAAATACATGATGAATACTCTTGAAACATAAGAGTGTAAAGCCTGCAGCTCATAACAAATGTGGAAGGTTATTGCGTGTCATATTTAACAAGCCGTTTACTGCTAATTTGATGTAATTTTGCTCACATGGATAATTGAATATTAATCAGATGATGTCATTACGCTGCTGTGCCGTCAGCCAATCGTTGCATTGCTGATCATGATTTCGAGGATCGATAGATCTGTCCTTCACAACACACGCAGCGATCTCAGATCAGTTTATCCAAACATTCTAATCTGTTTCGCGAACTTGTTTGAAGAACCAAAATAGCGAGAGATCAGTTATCAAGATTAAAAGATCCAGGATCTGCCAAATCATTTTAGATCATTTAAGTGAGGTACGAAGAACGGACCCCTGAATCGCGCAAACGTGAATACGTCTGACTGTTCTGATTGGCTAAAGCAGACGTCTCACGTCAGCACGTTCTAGACGTGAACACGCTCTTTCCGGCAAACTTCCCTCTGCGTTCACACAGCGCAGCATTCCGGCAAATTACCGATAATGTTACAACTTCTCTTTCCGGGAAATAGCCAGAACTAATTTACCGCTATTTTCTAAAAGGGCCTGTTCACACATACACACCTTTCCGGAAAATTGCCGGTAATTTTCCAGAAAGGTCTGTACGTGTGAAAGGGGTTAAAGCCTTGCCTGATTTACCTAGTTAAGTCTTTAATTTGCACTTGAACACTAAGCTGAATCCTAGTATCTTGCAAGACAACAAGCAAAATATTACGTGCTGTCAACATGGAAAAAATGCATGAAATTAGTCATTAGAAATGAGTTCTTAAGACTTATATTTATGTTTTTTTAAATATACAAATATACTCTTGGCGAATACTGTTCTCCCAGTAGGCCTGATCATTTTGTTTTCAGCTGTGTTGTATCAAGCTCTGTTTAACGTTGATGTAAAGCGGAAGTTGCGATACATTTTTCTTCCCTATTATTGTATATTTCTGCTTTTTTAACAATGGCAAATGCATGCAGGTACACACGTATTAACAACGGTTAAAAGGTAATTGCACATAATGATCGTTCCCGTGTGCACAAACTTTTAGATTAACCTCATACAGTGTTTACAGCTTGTTATTAAAATACTGTTGGATCGATTCTGATCTGAGAATATCTGTGCATTCACACTGCTGCTGCTGAGAGCGTCAAAGTAGCCGGAAATTATTCATTGTCAATGGGAAAGCGGTGCATTTTTGCATGCATGTTTCAGAAGCTCTGGCTTCTTGTGAATGAGAAAGCAGATACTGCCCTCCACAACATGGAAAGACACATCTCTCCATGCAGGCGCAGAACCCCAGTTTCAGTCAGCTACTGGTTTGGTGTGTTCACACACAGCTTTTTGCTCCAAATGTGATCCAGTGCAAGGTGACAACACAGTTGGGTTTTGTTGATGCTAGTTGTTTGGCGTTGGCTTGTTGTGTCCTGGCCCTTCAGTTCAGTTAATTTGTCTTTCCCCCTTTAGTAATCCTGTGGACCTGAGCAATCCCGTCATTGTGAGTTCCACGCCGAAGTTTCAGGAGCAGTTGTTGGGTGTGAACAGTGTTCCTCACGAGGTGATCCAGCACCCTTGCCTCAAACAGCTGCCTCAGATCTTCTTCAGAGCCATGAGGGGCATCAGCTGCCTCGTCGACGCTTTCCTCGGTAAAATCACATCGACATTATTTATCTTGTGTCTTTTGAGGATGCAACAGTAGTGGCATTACCATCATATTCCATGCAGATGAATGGAACTATTAATGACATTATTCACCCAAAAAGGAAAATTCTGTCTCACATTACAGGGTTCAACGCTAAGAATATTTTCTACTGGCCCGATCGATGTGTGTGTGTGTGTGTGCGAGTGTGTGTGTGTGTGTGTGTGTGTGTGTGTGTGTGTGTGTGTGTGTGTGTGTGTGTGTGTGTGTGTGTGTGTGTATATATATATATATATATATATATATATATATATATATATATATATATATATTTTTTTTTATATATATATATATATATATATATATATATATATATATATATATATATATATATATTTTTTTTTTTATATATATATATATATATATATATATATTTATATATATATATTTATATATTTATATATATATATATATATATATATATATATATATATATATATATATATATATATATATATACGGTACCGGTCACAAGTTTCATTGATTTTTTTTAATGGAACATTATTCAGTTCAAGGCTACATTTATTAAATGTAAAAAAATAAAAGTTAAATTGTTAAATATTTATTAATACTTATTGAATTATTGTATGTAGTTTCAAGTAAAATTATTATTCCAGACATTATTGCTTTTATTACCATTACCATTAATAATAATAACATTTAATAATAATAACAACAATAATAATTAATGTTAGTGATTTCTGAAGTGATTTCTTTAAAATTACTGGTCAAATGATTAAATTAAATGATAAACTACTGTTGAACAGTTATTTTATAGTGCAACATTTCACAATTTTGCTGTATTTATGATTAAATAAATGCAGCCTCGGTGAGCAGGAGAAGCTTATTTTAACATATTTAACAATCATACTGACCCCAAACTTTGAGCAGTTGTGTATGGAATATGTTATAAGCAAAAATGTGCACTTCAATTTTAACACCCCACAGACACCATCACCAAATATAAATCAGAGAGGTCAGCCTCTCTCATACAGAGCCTCATTTCAATTGTCAAGTTTTGTAAAAATCTATCTATCTATTGAATTAATCAATCTATTGAAGAAACGTTGGCTAGAATTCTGCATATAGGCTTAAATTATAGAGAGACATAGCAGATGAACAGAGACTGCATCAGGTCGCGAAGCAGATCAATTATCTTTTTTTCGAGCTGTCAGAGCGGAAATGAACAAAACAACAGGCCTAATACAACATATTATACGATTAAAATATGGAAATATTATCAGATGGTAAGTTCGGTCAATTTTCCTAACGGATAAATAGCTCTTAGTAATAGTTCAGCATGGTTTCACTTTCGCATTAGAAATGAAGCACACATTTTCCGGTAGGATTGACATCTCGCCCTATTCATCATTCTCTCTTCATATAGCCGTATATATGGCTATTACACAACCATTATACACTGTGATATATCCTGCGTCGTTAGTTCGCTGCATTGTTTTGTTTTCTCACTACAATCGATCCGCTCAGTAGAGCAGAGACCATCTCATTCAGGCCATCTCAGACTGATTAATTTGGCGAGTATGCGAGCGCGATTGCTGGATTCACATATGGCAAACAAACCGCGCTAACAGGGGAAACGAGACAGATTCCGAAACAAACGTCTATGTCTGAAAGCACCCTTGATTGTATTTGCACGCAGTTGACAGACAGTCGCAGCCAAACTTGTGACAAGGCAGCACTGGCACGATCGGGCCAGTAACATTCTGTACACTGGCCCGAGTGTCTCGCACGCTGGCCCCGGGCCATCGGGCAGTCCTTATTGTCGAGCCCTGCATTAGTAAATGTGCTCATCCTCCTCTTTTTCCAAACCTGTTTTGGACTGACAGGAGGAAAACCAGCTCAATCTCCTGGCAGCGTGAAGTAAATAGATTTACCTCTAATAGTAGACTTATGTATTAAACACATTTACAAAGAAAAATCAAAGGAGTTTTTTTTTTTATTTTAGTTAGGTTCAGTTAGTTCTAGTTTTGCAAAAAACTCCTGTTTTTATTTTTATTCATGCATTTTCTACTTAGTCCCTTTATTAATCTGGGGTCGCTACAGCGGAATGAACCGCCAACTTATCCAGCACAAGTTTTACACAGTGGATGCCCTTCCAGCTGCAACCTATCACTGGGTAACATCCACACACACTCATTTACTCTCATACTCTACGGACAACGCATGAGGCGAACATGCTACCCACTGCGCCACCGCATCACCCTTTTTGTTTTTTATTCAATTAGCGAAAATTATTTAACATTTTTGTTTTAGTGTTTTCGTTCGTTTTCGTTCGTTTTCGTTAACTATAATAACCTTGCAACATTCTTCAGAATATTTTGTTTTGTGTTCAACAGAAGAAAGAAACCATAGTCAAACAATTACATTTGCTGTTTGTTCAAACTAAATTGAACTAAAACAACACAATTCTTGAAGTTACTTTGTTGTTTTAATCCACTTAAATTTGTAAACACTGATATGTTAACACTGATATGGCACCTATGGTGTAAAATCTACTTTTAAAGCTGTTTGGACAGACATGTGTGTAAGTATAGTGTATAGACCGTCATATTGGGCTGATATAAACACACACAGTGCTTTTTTTGTCAATTTAACAACATAAAAACGGAGAGCAATTTGAGCTGTTTTCAGACCGACCACAACTTTACGTAGGAGTGCGGTCCCCCCGCCCACCAATATTGATTGACAGCCTCGCGTCATGATCATATCCGCGTCATGAACACCCTTGCTTTATTTTTTGATGAAAGGCTCATTGGGCTCAACACAAGATCAATATTCTCCACATTATCGCTCTAATCAGATTTATTGCTTGTACCTTTTGCGTGGCGCAGCGTCGTGCATTTCGGAGTTTAGGGTGTGGGTTTTTGTCGGGGTGCACGCAGCAGAGCTTCGGGTCAGCGGCTCAGCGGCTGCGGCACCGTTGTGTTTGACCTGGTGGAGGCTTGTGTTTGGAGTTCTGGAATGCGTGACGCGACGATTCGGGACACTTCATGTTTTTGCCGAGTCACTGAATGTCTGGTGTGCTGTGTCGCGGCGCATTCGGTGCCTCAGTCTAAGTTAATTCAGTGTGTGTGGTTATTAGTCTTGGTGTACAAGCTCGGCACTTGTACAACGAGACTATCCACTCTATTCTCCGCCGACGAGCGGGCGCTGCCATTTGAATCTTTTTGTCTCGCGACTTCCAGTCCCATTCTCTTCCATTCATTTTTTTGACGTTAAAAACTGCTTGTTACGTTGCTTGATGTTGCAATTTGATATTTTCTTATTATATTACTCTACTTGGACTGTATAGTCATGCAAAGTAGTTTGACCATTTTCTGCCGTTTATTATTCCTAGTCATTTCTCCCATAGGCGACGGAATCAGAAGTTCTAAGACACAATACAAAGACACAAATGATTTTGTACTCTCTGCTTGGTCTGTGTCCGAGTCGTACATGTACGGCTGAATGCTCATCTTAGCTTAGCTTAGCTTCTCTCTGTCTGTCTGTCTGCCTGTCTGTTGCAAACACAGAGCGTGGGAGCTCTTTGCTCCGCCCCCTTGTTACGTTTTGCGGGAAGCCAAACCTGTGAAGCAACTAAAACAGCAAGCTGTGTACACGCCCTCAACATGACACTTTTGAACACATTATAATCAAAACATCTGAACTGTGTGTTGAACTGAACCTAAACTGGCACACTCAGAACAACCAGAATATTAATATTAAATAATTAAAAAGGGGTAAACCATGTGCCCCTTTAACTTAATTCCACTGCACTCGTGTGTGAGTAAATGATAAGAATATTTTCATTTTGGGTGAACTGTCCCTTTAATAGTCTTTCCATTCACTTTAACAGTTTGTTTGTTGCGATGTGTTTTGTTTTGATTCTCGGCTGTATTGATGTATGAACATCAGCTTTGACTGTCTTTCCATTTGTAGGTGTCGCTGTTACTCAGAAACTTGAGTGTCGTGAAACTCTGCCCTCTTCTGGTACTCATGCATCTGTGCTGTGCTTTTGTCAATGTTAACTCTTTTTCACTCATTTGGTGCTGGTGCATGAAGTTGCTTGTTGTGATCAATTCATTTGATTAGCACCTTTATATGTCATTTTTATTTATTTCATGCTACCGGTCAAAAGTTTGGTGCAATACTTTTTTTTTTGTTTGTTTGTTTATGCAAGGTTTATGCTTTGTTTATGTGCCACGTCACAAGCATGAACACACAGCACACCTTTCATCTCAATAGTTAGCTTATTTTTCTGGATTTAAACAGTCTTCAATATATTTGGGATAATGCGAGTACATAAGTCTGGTCTAAATGTTTTGAAATTAATGAAGATGCATTTTACCTAAAGTGCATTTAAACACTATGTGATAAACAACAACTAAAATAGTGGGATTTTTAGCTTCATAGCACTGTTATTGCTTTTGGACTCTCAAGACAGGTTACTGATGAGCACCAGCACAATTTCAGTGAAAAGAGGTTTCTTTCTACTTCAAATCAGTCCATAAACTAAATTTGGCTATATTTTAAAATTAAAGCAGTCTTGCTTGATAAACTCTCAGATATATTAGTCTTTTCAAATTAAGAATTTCTTTTAATTTTATTTATACAAAAGGAATATAAAAGAAAACTCTACTTCTTTTTAAAATGTGCTCATTTTTCAGCTCCCCTAGAGTTAAAGAGTTGAGTTTTATCTTTTTTGAATGCATTCAGTTGATGTTTGGGTCTGCCGAGAGTACTTTAGCTTAGCATACATCATTAAATCGGATTAGACCGTTTGCATCTCGATCAAAAATGACCAAACCGTTTTTGTAATTTTCTATACTATTTATATTAATCCCTTAATTTAATCCCTTAATTAATTTAAAGGCTTAATCTCTTATTTATTAGGTATATCTACTGTGGAATGAACCGCCAACTATTCTGGCATATGCTTTACATGGCAGATGCCCTTCCAGCTGCAACCCAGCACTGTGAAACACCCATACTCTCTCACATTCACACACACTCATAGATTACGGACAGTTTAGTTCATCAATTCACCTATAGCGCATATTGGCTTAGAAAAGTTTTTTTTTTTTTTAAACTAACATGTACTAAGACAGAACTGCCTGTCTAAGTTCATGATGTAACTACAGAAGAGTCTTAGTACATGAATTAACTTAGAGAGAAAAAATCAAATCAAAACTCAAAAGTTTGGTCATTGCAGGTATCAAAACTTTGGTCATCTGTAAACGAGATGCTAACGGTCTAACCCAATTCAATGATCTATGCTAAGCTAAGCTAATGTGTTCTCGCCAGGCCCAGAGATCGGCTGAATGAATCAAAAAATGGTAAAACTCAAATGTTTAACTGTTGCGGGGGCTGAAAAATTGGCTTGTTTCCTTTAGGAATTAAAATTATAAACTCTCAGATATATTAGTCTTTTCAAAATAAGAAAAAAAAATATTTATACAAAAGGAATATAAAAGAAAACTCTACTTCTTTTTAAAATAGGCTTATTTTTCAGCTCCCCTAGAGTTAAAGAGTTGAATTTTATCTTTTTTTTGAATGCATTCAGTCAATCTTCGGGTCTGGCGAGAGCACTTTAGCTTAGCTTAGCATAGATCATTGAATTGGATTAGACCATTAGCATCTCGATCAAAAATGACCAAACAGTTTACGTCATTTCTATACGATTTATAATAACTACATTGTCATTCATTAATTTATTTGTTTTTCTTCGGCTTAATCCCTTATTTATCAGGTATATCTACAGTGGAATGAACCGCCAACTATTCTGGCATATGCTTTACATGGCAGTAGCCCTTCCAGCTGCAACCCAGCACTGAGAAATGCCTATACACTCTCACATTCACACACACTCATACACTACTGACCGTTTAGTTCATCTATTCACCTATAGCACATATTGGCCTAGAATTTTATTTATTTTTTTTAAACTAACATATATTAAGACAGAACTGCCTGTCTTTAGTTCATGATGTAACTACAGAATAATCTTAGTACATGAATTAACTTTAAAAGAAAAATCAAATCAAAACTCAAAACTTTGGTCATTGCAGGGATCAAAACTTTGGTCATCTGTAAACGAGATGCTAACGGTCTAACCCAGTTCAATGATCTATGCTAAGCTAAGCTAATGTGCTCACGCCAGGCCCAGAGATCGACTGAATCATAAAATGGTAAAACTCAAATATTTAACTGTTGGGGAGCTGAAATGTGCCTATTTTCCTTTAAGAATTAAAATGAAGACTTCCATCTTCAGCAATAAGGGAATATTTATTATAAATTTGTCCTAAAAAGTGTAACTGGTTGTCAGGTCTGCCCATTTCAATAGAGTTTGTTGTGATTAATACATTTATCATCATTACATTTAATCAGATTTTCTAACACTTTCCTCAGAGGTCTTGTTTTATGTTTCCTCAGGAGTCACAGTGTCTAGGAGCAATATTCGAGACAGACTTCCCTCCATAGGTACACTAAAGCTGTCCAAACCCAATCAGATAGTGACTAACAGTGGTGTTAAAAAGCCAACACACTGATTCTGTTCATCAAGGTGTTTGGGTGCAGGGCTGTAGCTCACACATCCTCATCAGGCTCAGAAATGTTAAAGTATATCGCTAGTTTTTAAAATATCATCTTTTTTTGTGGATAATCCCATTTTTTCTCTCTAGGTGTTGCAGTATCTCGGAATAATCTCCGAGAAAGGCTCCCGTCTTATGGTATTTCTTAACGCGCCTCTGACTAATCAAGAGGGAGTTTGTAGATTTGTTTTATTTCGAGGTGTTTGGTGCATTTATAGATCAAAAATCTCTGTGTTGTGGGAATCAATTAGCCGTCTTGTTAATTGCCTTGTTTTTCTTCCATGCATAGGGAAAATCTTTGCCCAGAATGAATGTGTGCATACTCACTGGTTGTAAATCAGTCTTTCAGCTGTTTAATCTGGCATTAAAATGGTATTGCATCTGATTTAAAGGCCTCATGAAATGATCTAAATCTAAAAATTGCAGATGTTAATTAACACTGGGTATTAAGAGGGTAATCTCATATTTTCAAAAACATAAAACAAGAAATATTGATGTTATTGCTGGACATATTGATGTAAATTATCGCTATAAAATTGTAATGCATAATAAATAGCAGGTCATAGGGGTTTAAAAAAAAATCATCCAATGTAAACAATCTGCAAAGTAAAAAAATCAGACATGACGTTAGAGTCATCTCTGACTCTACGAAGACCCGGAAGGGATGGGATGGTGGGGAAAAAAATGGGTGGAAGTTTAAAGTTTAAAGGGAGAAAAACATGGGTGGGAGAAAAAAAAAACAGTGACAGGAAAAAAAAAAAAAAAAAAAAATATGTATATATATATATATATATATATATATATATATATATATATATATATATATATATATATATATATATATATATATATATATTTAAGTTTTTGCATTCCCTCTCAAATATGTTTTGTGTTCCCTCTCAAAGATGTTTCGCGTTTCCTCGCAAATAAGTTTTGCATTCCCTCTCAAAGATGTTTTGCCTTCCCTCGCTAAGATGTTTTGCGTTCCCTAACAAAGATGTTTTGCGTTTCCTCACAAATATGTTTTGCGTTTCCTCACAAATATGTTTTGCGTTTCCTCACAAAGATGTTTTGCGTTTCCTCACAAATATGTTTTGCGTTTCCTCACAAATATGTTTTGCGTTTCCTCACAAATATGTTTTGCGTTTCCTCACAAATATGTTTTGCCTTCCCTCGCTAAGATGTTTTGCGTTTCCTCACAAATATGTTTTGCATTTCCTAACAAAGATGTTTTGCGTTTCCTCACAAATATGTTTTGCGTTCCCTCGCTAAGATGTTTTGCGTTTCCTCACAAATATGTTTTGCATTTCCTCACAAATATGTTTTGCGTTTCCTCACAAATATGTTTTGCGTTCCCTCGCTAAGATGTTTTGCGTTCCCTCGCTAAGATGTTTTGCGTTTCCTCACAAATATGTTTTGCGTTCCCTCGCTAAGATGTTTTGCGTTCCCTCACAAATATGTTTTGCGTTCCCTCGCTAAGATGTTTTGCGTTTCCTCACAAATATGTTTTGCGTTTCCTCACAAATATGTTTTGCGTTCCCTCGCTAAGATGTTTTGCGTTCCCTCACAAATATGTTTTGCGTTCCTTCGCTAAGATGTTTTGCGTTCCCTCACAAATATGTTTTGCGTTCCCTCGCTAAGATGTTTTGCGTTCCCTCCCAAAGATGTTTTGCGTTCCCTCACAAAGATGTTTTGCGTTCCCTCGCTAAGATGTTTTGTGTTCCCTCGCTAAGATGTTTTGTGTTCCCTCGATAAGATGTTTTGTGTTCCCTCGATAAGATGTTTTGTGTTCCCTCGATAAGATGTTTTGTGTTCCCTCGCTAAGATGTTTTGCGTTTCCTCGTAAAGATGTTTTGTGTTCCCTCGATAAGATGTTTTGTGTTCCCTCGCTAAGATGTTTTGCGTTTCCTCGTAAAGATGTTTTGCGTTTCCTCTCAAAGATGTTTTGCCTTCCCTCGCTAAGATGTTTTGCATTCCCTAACAAAGATGTTTTGCGTTTCCTCACAAATATGTTTTACGTTTCCTCACAAATATGTTTTGCCTTCCCTCGCTAAGATGTTTTGCATTCCCTAACAAAGATGTTTTGCGTTTCCTCACAAATATGTTTTGCGTTCCCTCGCTAAGATGTTTTGCGTTTCCTCACAAATATGTTTTGCATTTCCTCACAAATATGTTTTGCGTTTCCTCACAAATATGTTTTGCGTTCCCTCGCTAAGATGTTTTGCGTTTCCTCACAAATATGTTTTGCGTTCCCTCGCTAAGATGTTTTGCGTTTCCTCACAAATATGTTTTGCATTTCCTCACAAATATGTTTTGCGTTTCCTCACAAATATGTTTTGCGTTCCCTCGCTAAGATGTTTTGCGTTTCCTCACAAATATGTTTTGCGTTCCCTCGCTAAGATGTTTTGCGTTCCCTCACAAATATGTTTTGCGTTCCCTCGCTAAGATGTTTTGCGTTTCCTCACAAATATGTTTTGCGTTCCCTCGCTAAGATGTTTTGCGTTCCCTCACAAATATGTTTTGCGTTCCCTCGCTAAGATGTTTTGCGTTTCCTTACAAATATGTTTTGCGTTTCCTCACAAATATGTTTTGCGTTCCCTCGCTAAGATGTTTTGCGTTCCCTCCCAAAGATGTTTTGCGTTCCCTCACAAAGATGTTTTGCGTTCCCTCGCTAAGATGTTTTGTGTTCCCTCGCTAAGATGTTTTGCGTTTCCTCGTAAAGATGTTTTGTGTTCCCTCGATAAGATGTTTTGTGTTCCCTCGCTAAGATGTTTTGCGTTTCCTCGTAAAGATGTTTTGTGTTCCCTCGATAAGATGTTTTGTGTTCCCTCGCTAAGATGTTTTGCGTTTCCTCGTAAAGATGTTTTGCGTTTCCTCGTAAAGATGTTTTGCGTTCCCTCGCAAAGATGTTTTGCGTTTCCTCACTAAGACGTTTTGTGTTCCCTCGCAAAGATGTTTTGCGTTCCCTCGATGAGACGTTTTGCGTTCCCTCGCTAAGACGTTTTGCGTTCCCTCGCTAAGACGTTTTGCGTTCCCTCGCAAAGACGTTTTGCTTTTCCTCGCAAAAATGTTTTGCGTTTCCTCACAAAGATGTTTTGCGTTCCCTCGATAAGACGTTTTGCGTTCCCTCGCTAAGACGTTTTGCGTTCCCTCGCTAAGACGTTTTGCGATCCCTCGCAAAGACGTTTTGCGTTCCCTCGCAAAAATGTTTTGCGTTTCCTCACAAAGATGTTTTGCGTTTCCTCACAAAGATGTTTTGCGTTTCCTCGCAAATATGTTTATCCTTTCCTTACAAAGACGTTTTGCACTCATCAAGTGTTTTTCCACAAACACTTCTTGTTCACTTCATGCATGTCAGCCCTCCCGTTTTTGCTGGGATTCTCCCGTATTTTACCATTCTGTCCTGCTATCATCCTATTATTAAGGATTTTCCCATATTTCTTGTGTAGTTTCAATCTTGAAAGCATATTGAAATTAATATAAACATGTTTGCATTCACATTCTTTCCATAAAAGCTGTGCGTCAATCATCGCCCTTCATATGCAACCTCTAAATGAGCGAATCCATATGATTACCTGATCCCAGATCAGCTTCTGTACACGCCGAAAAAAAATGAATAAATGAATGATTGTAATATAATAAACAAACATATATTCTGAGAACATTACAATGCTTTCTAACTTTAAATGCATGTAAACATTTTGTAGAGCACTGTTTTTCAACCAGGTTTTAACTTGGCCACAGCTGACCAATTAGAACAAAGTCAGGTCATGGAAGGGGGAGGGGCTTTCGGCAACAAATTGATTCAAATGAAGTGAATCAAAATGACTGCAAAGTGATTCGAATATCATAAACAAACACATATTCTGAGAACATTACAATGTTCTCTGACTTTAAATGCAGTTTGTAGGGGATTCCAGCCCAATGTAAGTACACTTTAAATGTCTGCTATGTAATATTATTCTAAATTCACACTGTTCTCAGGCATTATCAACTGCAATTTATTGTGCCCTAGTTTGTGCTATCTTTTACATTGGCCTTAATCTAGAAGTATCATTTAATTTAAACTAGTCCATTTGCTGTCATGTTATTTGTGCCAAGCTAATGTTTGATAAAAGGCAACAAAGTCTTGCAGCAACTTCATGTTTCTTTAATATGGGGTCTTTAAAATCACCTATGTGTGTGTGTGTGTGTGTGTGTGTGTGTGTGTGTGTGTGTGTGTGTGTGTGTGTGTGTGTGTGTGTGTGTGTACGTGTTTTTGTGACATATCAGGACACAAATCTGTATAATGACATGGGTATGACACAGGTATTACAAAAAGGAGGTGAAATATGAGGACATTGGTGACGTCCTCATTTCTCAAAATGCTTATAAATCACACTGAATGAGTTTAATCAGAGAGTAAAGCTGCACACAGTCTCCTGTGATGGTTGGGTTTAGGGGTGGGGTGGGGTGAGGGCAATACAATATACAGTTTGGACAGTATAAAATGAATGGAAACCTATGTAATGTCCCCACTTTTCACAAAAACAAACATGTGTGTGTGTGTGTGTGTGTGTGTGTGTGTGTGTGTGTGTGTGTGTGTGTGTGAGTGTGATGTAATGGCTCTGAAATATCAGCTTTCCTCCTGCTACAGGCCACAATCAATAAACGCTGTGGGTTTTAATCAGTCTGTGGGGTTTTCCTCTCCGTCGCCAGTCAGTATTCCCACAGAGGTTTTAGGCAAATAGCCAGATTTGAATGCAGGGTGTGTTTTTCTTTTTTTTTTTTTTTTTTCTGGCCAATCAGCTGCTGAGCTGGGCTGCTGTGTGGAAATGCATTCTGATGATCTGGTCGTCGTCTCAATAGTGTCTGTGCATTTCTAGAAACTTTTCAATAGCCGTCAACAGGTTTCTCTCGCATTATAAGCCAAATTTGCTTGTTCTAAATCTCAATTAACCGCTGTTAAATTACTCTTGTGGGCGAGGCAGTGGCGCAGTAGGTAGTGCTATCGCCTCACAGCAAGAAGGTCGCTGGTTCGAACCTCGGCTCAGTTGGCGTTTCTGTGTGGAGTTTGCATGTTCTCCCTGTCTTCGCGTGGGTTTCCTCCGGGTGCTCCGGTTTCCCCCACAGTCCAAAGACATGCGGTACAGGTGAAT